AGGAAGGCAAAAAGCAATAACGATTTTGAAGAGGTCCAGTGGGTGGTTTTCATTGGCCCCTTCTCTCCCTCTCATTCTGACGTCCATTCATTCATCAGAGCCCTCTACTCTCCACCCCATGACTCCTTGGCCTTAGTCACAGATCGGTTATTTATTTAGCTAGTTATTTACTCCTTGCCCTGTTCCATAAACACATTGAGCCAGCTTATAAAAATACACAGAATAAAAAGTGGAACAAATGACCAAGATGGGCAATGAAGATAACAAAGGGAAGTTGATAGAGCCAGCCATAGAGGGACACACAGAAATGTCAATCATATGATGTTTAGTTACTACAAATGGGCTGCAGATTTGGATCTAAGAGTCCTAGGAGCCACAGAAAACAGAAGAACTAATCAGGCAGAAGGTGTATACCTACCAGTAAGTCAGGAAAAGATCCACCTTGCTAACGCAGAGGCCAGAGGGAGGTGAGTGATCACAGTTCTCACTTGCTGGGCATGTGGGCCAGGGACTGAGTTAAATGTTCTTCCAACATTTTCTCATTTGATCCTGGTGATCATGTGGGGTTGATACTATTATGATATTTACTTTACAGATAAGGAATCTAAGAATTTGAGAGCAAGTTAGTAATTTTCCCAAAACCAAAAAGTTAGTCAATTGTAGAAAGGGAGATTCAAACCCAGGCTATCAGGCTCCATGTCTCGGTGCCAAACCAGTAAACTTATCCTACTGGGGAGTGGGGGGGCCCTATGAGGATATTTCTGCAACTGATGGAATTGTAATTTTTGTAGGGCTGTCTCTCCTCACCTCTTTCAATGCAATTCCTTAATATAGGCACAAAAGCATAAACAGTTGAAATTCAATGAAAGCAATTCCTTGAATTAAAAGTTTGTCCATGTGCTAAGTTCTGTGATGATCTAATTTCCTTCTCTGTGTATATGTATAAATATTGCAGTCTACCATAAATCAACAGGTATTTTCTCAAATCATAGTGATTCTAATGTATCCCAAACCCACTCTGATTTATTTACACCCTGAGAGAAATTAAAAGATGATGTCTTGGTCTCTCCACTCCCATGCCAACCTCTACACAGGAAATATAGCCAAAAGAACACACAATCAAGACCTGTGTTAAGAACATTTAGAGGACAACTTTACTGGCCTTGTGGTTCTTTTCTTCCAACCTAGTCTTTGTAAAATGCTTTAGGAATTGGGTATTCCCTCTATTGAAGACCTCATACCATTCAGGCAGCATTTATTAAACCTTCAGCATCTACAAGCCACTTCAACCTAATGCAGGCCGCCAATTTTAGGTAAAAATTCATCACAATTTTTAAAAATAAAAACATCATATGCTTTTAAAAAGCTTTTTTTTTTTATGGAGAAATTCAAACATGTGAAAGTAGGCTAGTATCATGTACTCATCACTCAGCTTGAAAAACGATTGACTCATGGCCAATCTGTTTCAACACTACTCCCATCCACTTCCTTTCTCTCATCCTGAAGCAAATCCCAGATATCATATCATTCCATCCATAAGTATTTCAGTATGTGCCTCTAAAAGATAGGAATCTTTTAACATTACAAGACTATTATCACAACTAAAAATATTCATAAGAGTTCCTAAGTGTCATCAAATATCAAATTTCCAATTGTCTCCAAAATGTTTTTCGGTTTTTTTTGTTTGAATCAATCCAAGTAGGGCCCACAGATAGAACATTATTTTAAATAACAACAACCATTTCATCCATTTGTAAGAGGACATCGTTTTCAAACTCCTCCCAAGGTACCCATCCTATTTGTTCTGTCCTATTTGCTCAGGTTTCTTTACTCCATACACCATTAGTTTCTTTACCCTTTATTTTTACTAAGTTAAACACTTCAAACTCACTATTCTAGGTCACTGGAAATGGCATCAAGTGTCTGATGTCTCTTTACAGTGGCTAGGGATTCAGAAATAAGGGATTTCTCATTGAAAACACTTTGGGCCCAATTATAAAATATATTCAAAATCCAGGTGGATGCATGATTTAACTTGGGAGGTGGGGGCAAATGGGTCTCCCTCATCCACCTGGACTGCTCCCAGCTCTGGAAAGCACTTGTCCAACATTGCAGGTAGTTCTAAACTATGCCCAAAAATACATTGCTCACTTGCCTCTAGTGAAGACAAGTATCAGATATTGGAAGAGTCCAGCTCCACTCAGAGCAGATTGGACCTCAGCTTGGTCTTAAGAAAACAATCTGATTGTTTTCTCTTTTAAGAGGCTGAGTTTATCCTTTGTATCCTACAGGCCAATAGGAGAATCAACAAGGTCTCTGAGACAAATCACCAGTAGACATGCCATGATGGGCGAAGTTAAGTTCTCATTCAAAGTTGTGGAAAGGCCCCCTGATGGCAGAGGGAAGAGTGGAAGGGTGGGGATTGGAAAGAGCAGTTAAGAGGACACTAAAATGTCCAGGCAGGAAGTTATGTGCTACTGAAGTCAGGTAGGAAGAGGGCAGATAGAAGAGGAATGTGGGAAAAGACGAAATTTGGAGACTGAATGTGGAAGGTAAAGATGGAAGAGGGAGGAGTCTTTATAGTGACATTCATGTTTCCAACTCCAGCCCTGGGAGGCTATGTGAAAAGGAATTTTAAACACACACAGACACACACACAAAACCTCTTTCCAAATTGCCCATGGCCCTGGGATGGAAATGGCTCATTTGTGAAGAAAATGTACCCCATGTGAAATACTCTTTGTAGTTACAGCAAGAATTCTCAACACTGGCTGCATGAGAGTCATCTGAGGAGTTTAAAAAAATACTATGCCCAGGCCCCAGCTCAGGGAGTTGAATTAGAATCCCTGGGTATTTTTATATCTCCCTTCGCCTTCCCCCCAGCACAGGTGATGCTAATGTGCAGCCAGGCAGGGCTGAGAACCGCTGGGCCAGGCATGGAAAGCAAGGGCTATTGGCACAGAACCATCCACTTGCTACAAAACCTGTAGGAGGGCTCATTGTTGGAACTATTCAGCTTGAATTTTAGTTTGGCTCAGCTTGGCCCCCCTGTTGCTTGGGGTGAAAGAAATGACCTGACCTTTGCAGCTCAGCTCTCTGGCAAAAGGAGGCTGGCAAGGACAGCCTGGCAAAGGAACAGGAAAGGAGGCAGCCAGGTGTCCGGCACACGTGGTTCCCCTCTGCCTGCGGAAGGCAGTGGTTCTCACACTTCTGCGCCTCACATTCAAGCTGGGTTATTTGTTAAATGCAGATGCCTGGGCTCCACTCCCTGCATCAGTCAGGTCCAGGGTGTGTGGCTAAGGAATCTGCATTTTAATGGTGCCCAGGTGACTCTGCCAGAGTTCATGGCACAAACCCCAAAGCTCTGAGAGGTCTGCAGGCCCCCACAGTGGGCATGTGCAAGGCAGAGACTGTCCTTCATCCTGGCCCCTGGCCCAGGAGACTGAGTAGGCAGGTCTGAGGTAGCAGCCAGCGGTCAGTGTTAAAGTGTTAGTGGGGCTCTAACTGGGGGGTGGGGTGTCTTCATGGGAAAAAAAGTGCACCTGCCTCAAGTTTTCATTGTATAACAGAAGGTGGAAGCCAAGCAGGAAGGGCCCTGGGCTCACTTACTGCGTTTCACCAAAAGGGAAACTGGGGGGATTTTCCTAGCCTGACTGGGGGCCGCCGGAAACTCAGGAGCCAGAGGAACCCAAGCAGCAGCCTCTGACCTTTCAGAGAACTTCAGTTTCTGCAGTGGGTCTCCCTGTGAGGTCCCTGTACCAGCAACATCAGCATCACTTGTTAGAAATGCAAATCCCTGGGCCCCAAGCCATACCTACTGGATTGGACTCTCTGGGGGTGGGGCCCTCAATCCGTGTTACAAGGCCCCAGGTGATTCTGATGTTGTTCAGGTTTTAGGACCCTGCACCAGAGGCTCGAAAGCTTCAGTGCTCATGGGCTTAGGGAAGGTTCCCCACCTCTCATTGCCTTTTCATGGGGGAAGGGAGCAGTCACATGGCACCCCTCCCACTCTCTCCACTAGTTACTGAGAAGGTGCTGAATGACACACAGGCTGCTTGGGCCAGAGAAAAGGAAGCCAGGTTCCGGGCAGCTGCCACCTGCCCAGCTGGCTGGCCTCCCCGCTCTCAGCTTTTTCTTTTCTCTAAGCCTGGACAGGGGTCCAGGAGGGGCTTTCCCTTAGAAAGAAAAGGCACCTGAGTGCCTGCCTAACCCCCCAAAGTTGAGGCAACTCTGGTCCAGACGCCCCAGGGTCTGGTTCCACTGTCCTTCCTGGAGAAATATGAGAGTAGGACTCAGAAAGGCTCAGGGCACATCTCCACACTCCTTCTCCTGGCCCAGGAGTGCTTCCTTTTCTCTTAGGATGGGGAAGCAAACGCTGACACTCTGGAGCAGGCTTCAGTCACGGGGGCTGCATCCTGTACCAGGACAAAAGCCCCCCCCCTTTTTTTTATTGTTCAAAATATTACAGATGTCCTTTTTTCTCCCCATTGACCCCTTCCACCCTGCTCCCAAGCCCCTCCCCAGGCCCTCACCACATCATTGTCTGTGTCCTTGGGTTATGTATATAAATTCTTTCAAAAGCCCTTCATAGAAGGGGCATCAGTGTTCCTACCCACACCTCCAGAAATGAGTTTCAGCAGCTTGGACTGCTGCAACACGCCACAGACTGGGTGGCTTAAATAACAGACGTGCGTTTCTCTTGTTGTGTTGGCTGGGGAGAGAGGCTGATTCAGGGGCTGAGGCGCAGGGCGAGGACTGGCCCAGAACGACAGGCGAGTTACTAGGTCCTCTCTTCTCCAGTCCCAACTTTGGACCTCCTCCAAACATTCTGATCAAACAGAAACACTAATGTGCTCTCAAGGGAGCCACTGGGATCAGGAATAACCCAGCCCTGCTGTCAGGATTCACACAGAGTCTTTCAATGTGTTATAAGGCAGTTCACAACTTTGAAGCAAAAATTCAGGGAAATACTTGGGTTAAATTAAAAGCACAGTTTCATATTTTCTTGTCAAATGACTTTACTTTAGGCAACAAATGAAATATAACTTAACTCAACAGGAAATATCACACTTGGAGGAAAAACATAGAAAAAAAACCCTGAAAGCCAAACATTCTTTCCAAGGCACAGCACTGACATTTCCAGATTGACAGCAGAATGAGTATGTTTCCATGAAACGAAACTGTGAGCCCAACGTCTAGCTTTGAAGTAGTTTTCCACTTCATCGCCACTTGTCAAGGCTCAGGGGACGATGCTTGTGGCCTTTCTCAGGGCCAGGTAGCCGGTGACAACATCGGATGGCAGCCTCCGAATGTAGGAAAACTCCTCGATGGTGCTGAACCGCAGCTTGCTCTGCGGGTCGGTGTAGTTGGCCTGGGTGGGAAGCAGGCACAGAGAAGGGCAGAGAGTTGGCGGTGGCAGTGGTGAGGATTTTAAGTTCAAGTTTAATATTTTTTTTCTTTTACTGAAAGTGAAATATATTTTCATCATGTCTTACTCTGTCACCAAGAGCACTAAATTGCTCCCTTTGGCGAAGACGTGTTAATCTTCCCAGACTTGAGAAATACTTCAGGGCATGAATGGGAGGGAAGGAGGAATAACCACATAGGACTCTCAGACTCTTCTGGTTGGTGCCTCAAGGGCTACAGGCAACAGGTCCCAGACTGAATCCACGATGATCATCCCTGCCTTCAGACTCCCACCTGCTTCAAATAAATGTTGCAGATCTGTTCCCCAAGGCAGGGAGTAGCACCTCGGAGTGGCCTGGCACACCCGCCCCGCCCCTCTACCCTCCACTTACTCCCAGTGCACTCCTCTTCCACTCTCCCTCGTCCTCCCAACGCCACTTCCACGCCTCCCTGGGCTCCACTGCAGTGCTGGACTGGCCACCCACCCTCACTCTTCCACAGCCAGGGTCATCTTTGCAACTTGCAATTCTGGTCATGTCTTTCATCATGAAACCTCTCAATGGCTCTTCTCTGTTCTTGGGACAAAGAAAGGCCCAAGTCCTCAGCATGGCTCCTCAGTCCCTGTCAGCTCTTCCTCAGCCACATGTTCTCACTTGCTGGTTCCAACTTCCCAGGCTCCAAGTTCCTCCCGCCTGTCATGCCCCATTTGCCCTTTCCTTCAAAGGGGCCCCCACCCTGGCCCACTATGCTCAGTAATCACCTGTTCATCCTATAGAACTCAGCCCCCAAAATCACGTCTGCGCGTAGGGGAAGCCTTATCTGCCCTTCCACAGGAGATCAGGACAGGACCCCACCCTCACTCTCACCTCACTGTGTGTATCTCCTGTGGAGTGCTTATCTCTATTGCTTTGAAGTTTATTATCTGCATGACTCTTTGACTAAGGTTTAGGTTCTGAGGCTCCCTGAGAGGCAGAAACCCTGTGGCGTGCTTATCACGGAATCCCAGCTCCTCCTAGTGCAATGCAGAGCACACAGGAGGCTTTTAGTCAGTGTTTGTACAGCAAACGATGAATGAATGAACCAACAAATGGACAATTAGGACCATCACAGAAAAGAGCACATGTTTCCCACTGACATACCAAAATTCTCTTTCAGTCTGCTTTTCTCATGTGCAGAGTGGAGACTCTAATTCACTCACTATATATATATATACCTCAAGGTACACAGCTTCTACAGATTTTGAAACAGAAGACCTGAGGGTGAGTCATTTGGAGCTCCTTTAAAAAAAGTATGAGGTGCCATTAAAGTCTAGACAGGTAATATCCGATTACTCAAGTGTGGATTGTTTGCTCCAATGTTGATCATCTCTATGGCCCTAGACGCAGCAATGCGGTGATTTAACCAGGGAAGGGAGTGAAGAAGCAACAGGCCGCAGGGGACTGAGTCACAGGTTTCTCATGCGCTAAAAAGTCTCCCATTCTCCCACTGGGGACCTCTTTAGGCATTTAACGGCTTCCCATCAGGAAAATGAGATTATTTCTAAAAAAACTAAGATTAATTAAAGTTCTATAAAAAATAAAACTTTGATCCTGTGGCTTGATCTAGATATTACCTTTCTGTAATGCATGAAAGTAATGTAATATATGACAGTAATATAAAGGAAGGCTTAAATAGAAAAACAGCACAAGTCCCATCTGAGGCTCCTGGCCATGAGGCAGTTAGATGAGCTGACAGGCAGGGGAGGCTACCCTGCAGTTCCGAGCAGGGGCGCAGGCGTGTGCATCTGGCTTTGATCATCCAGCCTCATATATGAACCAGCCCGGCCTGGCTCCATTCCTGTGGCTGCCTCACTCCTACCACCAAACTGTGCTGAGCCGGCCCGCCCAAGTTCAGACCTCACTGCCAAGAAGGCTGCTGAATCAATAATGCGAAATAATGCACCAACAAAAAGGTCACCAACAAGAACTTGCACAGACAGAACCTGACCTAGTATTCTGAACAGAGAGGAGAATGCCAAGTGACACTGCACAGTTGAACAAGTAAAGAACTGCACTCCTACAGTCGGAACCTCCTCTGGATTCCATCCCTGGAGCCTGAATGAAACAAAGGCTGCCTCCCTAGAGGGCAGGCAGCAAACAGCTTTCTGGCCTCCCTCACTGAGCTGTGGGGTGACAGGCAGTGTTCACTTCTCCCCCATCTTTCCCAGAGCCACAGTGCTTTCCATAGCTTTGTTACAAGGGCTAAACACAGATGTGACCTGCATGCCTCCCTGCCATGCCCACCCACGGGGAAACAGTTGCTTGATTGGCCGGGAAAAGGTGGGTCACTGTAAACATTATGCAATTTTAATTCATGCACGTAACAGATGAACATATTTTCCTCTAAAAAAGAAAAGAAAAAGAAAACATCTACCACCATCTACCATCCAACATCCTTTGCCTTCCCTTGAGGAAACCACTGCTAGGCACCCTTCCAGGCCTTGTGTACATATATCCTTACACACATATGTAAACACACCAGAGCAATTACCCTCTGTTTTTTCGTAAGTATGTGCTTTTACTTAGATGGTATTATGCTGCCCGCACTGCTCTGCACCCTCCAGTGAACAATGTATCTTGGAAGTTAGTCCATGTTGTTACATATACATCAAGCTCAGAGAATAGTATGGAAACAACCCCCGCCCCCCACTGATTGACCTTTATGCTGTTTTCAATATTTTGCTAATACATTTTCTCATAAGCATTTCTGCATGAAATGCTTCATCATTTCTTAGAAAGCTGTCTAGAAGGCAATGCTGGACATAGGCTTTTGCTGTTTTGTCTCAGTAGGTAGTGCCAAACTGTCCTCCAAAGAATCCATACCAATGTAGATTCCCACCTTGAAACAGCAATATATGAGGATATCCGTTTCTCTATGTTGGTGACAATGTGTATAATCAAACCTCTTCCTAATGAGTCTCTTTCCTAATTATCAGTGAGCCTGAATGTCTACTTATTGGTTATGCGTATCTCCTCCTTGTAACTGTCTATTCGTATTCTTCTATAGGTTTGTCTTTCAATGATTTGGTAGAGTTCTTTGTATAGTCAGAATTTCTTGAATCTTATATGCAGTGCGGGCAAGAGCTTTTAGGTTTTATATAACATGACAAGTCCTTTGCCAATGGCATAGAGGGCCTGGAACAATGCTTCTCACAATGATTTTCATGCCTCCTAATGTGTGAAAAACAGTGCACTAGCAGAAGAGCTGCCAGATAATGGTCAGGATAAAGCTACGTTCTAAGGGACCACCCTCCAAGTCTAGCCATAAGCCATGGCTTCTACAAGCTCAGCACAAAATGGTACAGGGAGAAATTTCCACTTGGGGCCATAACAGAATAACTGGTGCCAACCTAGCTCTTCTGTCATAAACAACTACTCAAAAGGGTAAAGTATATGAGGCAACTATTTCCAGGCAAGAGAGAGCAGAAGGCTACAACATTTCTCTCAAAGTGAAGTCCCATCAGGGGACCTTTAGGAGGAGCTACATGACATGAATGGAAGCAAAAAGAACCCACCACACACCCACACCCACACGCAGCACATGTACATACAAGCAGGTGTGCTCCATTTTACAGCACTTCTACTCTATCGTTTTTTAGAATCATTGTATTTAAGGATCTATGTTAAAAAGTTTGTAGTACACTGAGGAGTGTATGCTCTCTGGAGGAAAAGCTAAAACATATGACTAATTCAGAGTACAACTAACATTATCTTCAAAATCACAATAAANCCACACGCAGCACATGTACACACAAGCAGGTGTGCTCCATTTTACAGCACTTCTACTCTATCGTTTTTTAGAATCATTGTATTTAAGGATCTATGTTAAAAAGTTTGTAGTACACTGAGGAGTGTATGCTCTCTGGAGGAAAAGCTAAAACATATGACTAATTCAGAGTACAACTAACATTATCTTCAAAATCACAATAAAACCAAGATCTTTACCAATATTAAGTGTATCATTTAGCCAATTTGTTAAAGAAGTTGTAGACATACATTTTCATAAGAACGTTCAAATAATGTGGATGAGTTTTAAAAGTGAAGTGACCTATTATTTCTACAGTTGTGAAGAAAAGCCCGTCTTCCAAACTGAGTAGCAATGAAAGGGATGAAGAAGGTGAGCTGAAAGCTCCACCCTTCCCCTACATTCTGAAAAGAAGGAGGTAAGGCTCCCTCAGATGCCTGAGGTTCATCCAGCCACATTGCTGGTTTTCAAACTGTGTTCCCCAGAAGCACTTTAGGGGTAACTGTGGAGGGCGGTGGGGAGGACAGAGGACCAGGTCCACACAGGACCACAGGGGGTAGGTGGGCTCCAGGGGATTCTGTAAAATATTTCATTTGGAAAGGGGGTTCTGGTGTTTAAAAGTAGGTTTGAAAACCACTGCCTTTAACACAGTGCCTCTTTAGAGAAGCTTGAATATTTTTTAAAGAACAAGATCATCTCTAAAATGCAGAAGTTTTTTAAAACTTCAGCAGTTAAAAAAATAATTTTTTTCATGTAGTTAACATGATACATATGAGTTATCATTCATATAAGCACAGGAATGGGAAGTGAAACTTGGGTCTCCTCCTTTCTGGAACAATCCAGGCTGCCCTCATAATGCCCCAGGTCTCAGTCACTCTGACATAATTATGTGAACACTTCAGCACAAACCCGTTACCTATTCAAAGTATATGGGCTCCAGGCAAGACCAGTGGTGGTCAATATTTAACACTAAGTAGACAATACTGTGAAATCTTTCTTTCAATTCTCTGTTATAAGACATAGAGGTGTAATTATACTCACAAGAAGACCTGAAACATCAGAATACTTCTTAGCTGGTTTGAAGGATGGAGGAGCATCAATACTGAAGTCTGGAAGAAAACAAAGAGAAAAATATAACTAAACTGGCTTTGAAACATTCAGATCCCTTCTAGACCAAGGGCAGACTCTGGATCTAGCTTTGCCCTGTCCCCAGGGACCTCTACTCCAGCAAAACCACAGGAAAGCTCATCTGCCCACAAGCCATTTTCACTGTCTCGGGCTACAGGGGCTGATGGGGATGAGATGCCAAACAACCCACTGCTTGGATCTCAGCATTCGGATACTGGAATGTCCACACCCAGACAACTGACTAGTTCACTTGTCATATGTCTGAGTCACCTCCATGAAAGATGGGCAGTGGGACAGGAGCTGGAGGAAACTTTTACCTGTACTTTCCAATGAAGTTAAACAGAACATATAGCAGCAGTGCTTTACACAGACTTGGAAACACTGCAGCATAAAGCATTTACTCTGAAAAACAGCGGCTTGGAGAGTAAAACAGAGCTGGCCTTTAAGCTGGTTGTTAGAAAACCTCCTAAATCTGAGGCAACCTTGTTCTTGGAAACAAATTTTAAGAGCAGACTTCTGAATAAGAAGTTTGTCAAAGAGAAGCACCAATATTATTATGTCAGGACATATTTCTCCAGATTGACATGTTAACAGTGACATTAAAAACCACACATCCATGACAACACATATAAGCAGATTCAACACAGATACAGTTATGAGGAAATGTACACATAATCTCCCTATATCAATGCCACTATAAAATTCCTAGGCTAAAAATTGTTTCCTCCATTAATGCAAATATAATAATGTAGGTCTGTTGTAAGAAAGTTCCCAGTCTAAACATTATAGACTCATAGAAGGCGCTAAACAGCTTACAGTTAGGATCGTTTAGTTGCCACGGTAATGCCCTTTCAGAAGCGAGAATTTGTTTCAGGTTCTTCCAGGTTCTATTCTTCTTGCCAGCTACTGCACCACCATGGCCAGAATGCTTGAATTAGAAGAATGGTTAAGGAGAAACAAAAATCAACGGAAAGTACCATTTCAGAATGTGACATTTATGCTTATTCATAACTGTAATATACCCCTCATTCTGTCAGCAATCATTTGTACACCTAAGCCCTTTTTAAAAAAGTATTACACTTTACACTTTAATCTTACTCATAAAAAGCAATGCTTTGGGATTGTCAAAATCCATGAGTCAGTTGGTGATGAAGTAGAAATAAAAGGTTATGTTTTTTTACATGCACACAGAAAATCACATCCTTTATTGGGTCTAACTTTATAGAATTCACTCATGGATTTCCCATTATTTTAAAATAAATTTACTACAAAGTTAGATTGAAACTCGTGATCACATTTCTAAACTCCCTTCTGAAGGCAAGTCTCTGCCTTGCAAACTACTGGTGATGCTGAAAAACCTAAGTATGCCGCAATCACAGCATGGCAAGCCTACTGGAAATTTTTTTTCTTTTTGCTCTATGAGGATGACAAAATAAAATGGAAAAGAATAGCAAAATCTGTTACAGGCACTCGCAATTCTGCATTTTCAAAACTAATGAAAAATAAACTTGTAATGGTATGAATCAAACTGAATCAGTGTGATTATGTCCCTCAAGAACGACAGGAAAAGTAGCCTGTTTCTACTGTACAGTACAATAGCTTAGATTTAGTTAAAGGAAGGGCTCTTCTTCTCCTGCCCCCAACCCCCCCCCACAAAGCCCATGACAGGAAAGGTGGCAACTCGGATTGATAGGGAAGGGGACACCAGTGCCACCTGAGCTGAAGGCCCAGCACGGTCAGAAGCCGAGGTATGGTTGTTTGGTTTTTAATTTATCAAATATCTTAGATGCTTACCACAAAGTTGGGATCCTTAAATGGTAAAGGTTTGGAAGTTTTTTCCATGGGTCCTGTGCTAAAATCAGAGGGCATCATTTTATTCTCACTCATGGCTTCCATGTTGATACCCTTAAAACACAGTAAGAATAGTAGGTCAGTATCTTTCATCTGAGTTCCCTAACTCAGCTCTCAAGGAGACATAAGATGACATCACAGGACATGCGAGGGAAGACAGTGTGCCCAGAGCCCCAGCAGGTGGCCTGCACCAGAGGAAGGCAGGCTAGACTGGCCACAGCATGTGCTGTGCAGAAGCCACAGGAGAGACCAGAAGCCAGGACCCCAGCTGCCATGCTTTCTGGTCCCCCTTTGTGCCAAGCACAGGGATGGGTATCCTACTTAAGCTGGCTCATTTAAGTCTGACAACCACTACAAGGTAGTGCTGTTATCCTCAGTATACAGGAAAAACTGAGGCACTCCATTACACCACATGGCCCCTACTCCTGCTGATCATGTCAACTATGTCTTGATACATTAAGACAAAAATGTCCAGCCCCTTTAAGGACCTCATCAGCCAGATCCCAGGCTAGAGCTGGTATGCTTAAGGAGCACAAGAGGACATGGGCACTCTTGAGAAAGGAGAATAGAAGGAGAAGAGGCTATCTGTCAGCTGGCTGCAGCCACAGAGCACTGCAAACAGGCTAATATGCTTTAAAACAAATAACCTTTTAAGCTAAGAATCACAAAGAAAAAACCAAGACAAAGTAAAAAATCACTTCTGATTTGCAATGCACTTTCCAATCTTCCCAGACTTCAATAAACTGTTTTTTGATATATAATTTACATAGAGCAAAATGCACAGATCTTAAGTGTAGGTTTCATGTGTGTTTTTTAAAGTTTCTGTATCTTTATTGTTGAAAATATTGCAGATGTCCCCTTTTTATCCCCACTGAGTTAATCCCCTCCACCCCCCATCCATCCCACCAGGCTTTCCCCATACGAATGCCTGTGTCCATGGGTTATGCTTATAAACATATAAGTTCTCTGATTAATCTCTCCTCACCCACGTACCCCTCCCCATCTTCCCTCTGAGATCCTTCAGTCTGTTCCATGCTTCTATGTCTCTGGATCCATTTTGTTCATCAGTTTATTTTGTTTATTATATTCCATATATAAGTGAGATCATGTGGCATTTGTTTTTCTGACTAACTTGTTTCACTTAGGGTAATACTTTCTAGTTCCCTCCATGCTGTGTCAAAGGATAAAATTGCCTTCCTTTTTACAGCTGCATAGTGTTCCATGCTGTAAATGTGCCACAGCTTTTGTATCCACTTATCTGCTGATGGGCACTTGGGCTGTTTCCAGATCTTAGCTATTATAAATTGCGCTGCTACGAACATAGGGGTTTCATGAGTTTTGCCAAATGTTTACACTTGTGTAATCCATAGAGCTAGAGAACATTTCCATCATTCCAGAAAGTTCTCTCATGCCTCTTCCTAGTCAATACCTTCCACTCTCAGGGGCAACCACTGTTTTGATTTCTACCACATTACTTTTGCCTGTTCTAGAACTTCATGAGTGGAATCTGACACATGCTCTGCTGTGTTTGGCTTCCTCTGCTGAGCATGATGTTTCTGAGATTTATCCATGCTATTGCATAGACCACTAGTTTGTTTCACTGAATGCATAGTGTGCTCAGCAGAGTAGTATTCTACTGTATGGATGTACCACCATTTGTTTATCCATTTTCCTATTGATAAAATTAGGTCATTTTCAGTCTTCAGCTATTATAAATAAAGCTGCTATAAAATATCTGTACAAGCCTTTGTGGACATGTGTTTTTACTTCTCTTTGGTAAATACTTAGAAGTGGAATGGTTGAGTTACATAGTAAGTATATGTTTAACTTTATAAGAAACTGCCAAATCATTTCCCCAAATGGTTGCACTCTTACATTCTAGCAGCAGTGTAAGAGAGTTCTGGTTGTATCAATGCATATTCCAGCCCTAGCCGGTCTTGCTCAGTGGTTAGAGCGTCAACCCTCAGACTGAAGGGTCCTGGGTTCAATTCCAGCCAAGGGCACACACCTCAGTTGCAGGCTCGATCCCCAGCCAGTGTGCGGGAGGCAACCAACCGATGAGTGTCTCTCCCCCCCGACTCTCTCTGAAAAGCAATGGAAAAAATATCCTCAGGTGAGGATTAAATAAATATATATTCCATCCCCCACCCCTGACTCCCTACAATGGCATCCATGTGGGAGGAAGGGGAGGAGGGGATACAGGGACCCCTCACTCTGCTGCAACAGTTCTCTGAATGGTCTCTTCTCAAACACCTGCCCAGACTCCCCCAGGGTCTCTCCACACTGGCCTGAGCTGCAGCCAAGGAGTCAGGGGCCTGTGCTCCTCCTCTGCTCTTAGCACCTCTTCTGTCTGCACTGCCCCTCACCTCATCCTCCCCACATTCACAGTCCTTCCTGACATTTCCCCCCTCCATGGCCCAGCTCAAATGTCAACTCATGAAGACGCAAGAGGCCTTCAATTTCTCATCCTTTTCTGTAGCCACAAATGATGCCTCTGTTTCTCCTCTCCCTTCCCTCCTCTCTCCCCCTTCCTCTCTCCCCCCACAGTTCCTTGCCCTTATCTGGGCCCTTCCTCAGCTGTTTTTAGAGGTAACCTAACAGCAAATGAGCCAGGGACTCCACGGAGCCTGAGGAGGAAGCTGCAGCTGGCATGCAGGTCAAAAAGAGTAACAGTCATCTGTTCTTTTGCGAGGTGGTGGTCCAGGGGAGGAGGAAGCCTGGCCCACTGGTGGAAAGGCACATGCAGTAAGCAGGCCACCGGCCAGTGCTAGAAGAAGGCCAAGGGCCATTCTCCTGAGGATGTACCACAGGACTACTCAGGAGAAAGGCCGGTGGATGTGGGCTGTCAGGAAACTGGGCCTACAGGTGGCCTAAATTAAGCGAGAGAGAAAAACAACTCTAAGAACTATGCAGTGAGCATGCCATCAAAACAAAAAAACCATGACAGCTAGGGACCACTTAGGAAAACAGGCAGAATGTAAAAGAGGTTTCCTGGGGCCAGATACACTTTAAGTTTCAATTTTACTGAGTTTTTCATAAAGAAAATGACTACTTATATAATGTTGTTTCCATCGGGGAGACAATAAGCAACCGGAACTGCTACAGCAGCAGAGGAGATCCTAAAGGGAAGTGAAGAACCAGGCCCCAAGGCCTCCAGTGGTAATTACAAAACTGTCCTTAGAACACGCCCAACTCACAGTGCTGCCATCCTCAAGCAGTGGCATTAGCTTTATCTCCTCCAGAACTGCTTCATTTTTTTCCCTTCCTGTTCCTGCCTCTTCCCTGACTCCTAGTGGGCCAAAGGCACAGCGAAATCCTGGGAAGGAACACAGGGCATTTTTTTTTCATAGGCTGTTCCCAGACCCAGGGAGACCCAGGAGAACACCAATAGGCAGAAATGTAGCACTGCCACTCAGGCAGGTAGCGCTGCCCCAGAGGCCACTAAGAAAAGCAGGGACCTCGGCAAGTCCATGTGGGCTGGAAGGTTGGGGAGCTCTGCCGGGGGGAAGATGCACCTGCGGAGAGGTGCACCTGCTGAGAGGAAGGGGAAGGTGGTGGGAAAAGAGGGCTCGCAGCTGGCATCGCCACTCCGAGTGGCACGCTTGAGAAGAGTCAAAAAGGGAATGAAGACGATACCCTCGTGCACTGACTTCCCAAACCAACCCTTCCTGCTCGTCTGGCCACTCCATCCTGTTTTGTCCCTTGTCAGCAGGCTGGACCGCCACTGAGGAGTCAAGCTGAAGAAGGGGCAGAGAAAGGAAGCCGTCCTGAGGTGAACAAGGCTGCATCATCCCAGGGCTGCAGCCAGCCTCTGAAACAGTGAGGGCCCTCTTCCCACTCTGGCCAGGCTCCACAAGAACACCCCACTCTGGCCCAGAACTGGGTTTTCTACTTTTCTTTCCTCTTTAACTCTGCCCTCCATGTTACTGCGCAGTCATTCTATCCTTCCCCTGGGCTTCAGCCAAGCTGAGTCTCCTGGGTCTATTAGTAACTGGATGAGAGGGAGACACCTTCAGTCACAGGGAGAATCAAGTCTGTCAGGCAGGGATGCAATAAAATAAAGTTTAATATGATGTACAGTTTCCATATTACTAAACCACTATAACACTAAGAGACTTGATGAGATGAGCTGTCCCACCCCAAGACATGAACACCCTAAGAGGAAAGAAGGAACACCTAGCACTAAAAGAGCTGATGTAAGTCCTAGGGAAGAGAAACCTGGCCTGCTATCAAAGAAGAGCTCATGCCTGCCCTGAACTGAGACAAGTCAGTGAGGCCTCAGCTGTGCCCAACTGTAGAGCCCAAATAAATGGCTTCATCTTTCCAGACGGCATGACTGCATGACTGACTCAGACTTAAGGAAAACTTGGGCACTCTGTGGTTACAAAAAAGAGAAACAAATGTCCTTTGTCTTATCACTGAAAAAAGTCAAATGTCCACTTACATCTATCTAATAATACTCTAGATTCAAATAGATGGCCCTAGTCTAAAACTACGGGGTTAGCGTAGGGTTACTTAAAACAGAAAACTGTGAGATGCAACCTAAATATTCAATAATGTCAAGTAAATAAGAGCATTTAATTCCTTGAGAAGTCTAGCAAAATAGAGACAGGTTCATGAAATAATGCTACATGAAAAGCAGGATACACAATGTTATATACCAAATACAATGATGAAAAACTACATTTATACATAGAAAACACAAATTATTATAGTTGCCGAGAAAGATAATTGGGTGGCTTATGTCCACTTTAAAAATAGAAAAGAAAAAGGAACTTCTAAAACTTAACATCATGATTTTTCTTAAAAGTTGGGGTAGAATGATTTTTTTTAATGAATCAAGCAAATCGGTCCAGAGTTCTTTGGCTGCCCCCAATTACAGAAGTGTCTAACATCTGCAGTCTACATGAACTTTCTATAGCACAGCTGCCTCTCATTTAGATGTTTTGTTAACTGCTTAACCATCACAAATCAGTCTGTTATGTTAACACTCAGAATGTAGGTCAATTAGGTCTCTCAGTAGATTTTATCAACTTGAGTAGGCATTTGGAAAGTCTAAAATGTTGATCTCACAAAATTTCCCCCCCCCAAAGCATTTCTCTGCACATGGACTTGGGTATGTCAGAGACCTAATTATATCTTCTAAGGTAGAGAGTGATAAGAGTGATACCAAGAGAGGCAGCATGAAATAAGAATGTGGACTCTGGAAAGTGCCTGGGTTTGAATCCTGACTCTATCACTTGGTAGCTGTGTGACCCGGGGAAAGTTATTTAACCTCTCTATGCTCCAGTCTTTTTATCTGTAGAATAACAATTCACAGGGGGTTGTTTTGAGGATTAAATGAGATGGTACTTAGAAAGTGCTTGGAACATTACCTGGTGTATATAGTAAATGCTCAACAAATATTGTTATTTATCACGATTTCTTTTACTTTAGCACAGTGTGCACCATGGACATACTGGGAGAAAATACCTGCAATACATATATTTTGCAAAGGACTCCAATGGAGAGTACATAAAGAACTCCTGAATATTGATAATTAAAAAACACACACAACCCAATTAGATAAAAATCAGGCACATCACAAAACATACTGGAATGGTTGATAAGCATATGAAAAGGTGACAGATATCATTAGTAATCAGTAATCAGAAAAACAAAAAAAGAGGAGATAGTACTACACAGCCATCAGAATGGCTAAAATGAAAGGTGGACGATGCCAAGTGTTGCTGAGAATGTAAAGCAACTGGAATGGTCATATTTTGCCAGTGAGAATGCACAATAGTGCAACTATTTTGGGAAATACTGTTTAACAGTTCCTGAGTTAAACATATGTCTACATTATGATCCAGCGATTCCACTTCTACTTATTTACCCAAGAGAAATGAAAGCTTATATCTCTACACAGAAGTGTACAGGAATGTTCAGAGGAGCTTAAAAACAGTAAACAATTAAAATGTCCATCAGCTGAGGTATGTTTACACAACGTACCAGATATACTGATACAGGTGATAACATGAATGGATGACTCACTCTCAAAAACACTGTTTCACACAGAAACCTAAACAGACACAAAAGAATATGTTCTGTATGATTCCATGTATATTCTATTCAGAAACGCAAAGTCAGGTTATGGTGAGAGATGCCAGGAGAGTGGTTACCTCTGGCAGGGAGGGAAGACAATGATGCCTTGAAAGGGTCACCAGGGCATTTTCTCGGGCTCTTAATATTTTCTATCTTCACCTGGGTGGTGGACACATATGTAAAAAAGTCTTTAAGATTTGTGCATTTTACTGTATGAAAAGCACACCTTAATAAAGTACTTTTAAAAGGGGGAGCACTATAAATTACCAATGGGAGCAGCGACAGGCGGTGCACACCTCGAGAACATCCCCCTGGGTGAGCGGTGCCACACCACGTGCTGGAGAGCACGCAGTGACGCTCCACCTCTGCTCTCTTACTGTTTTAAATAAACCGCGGGAGCCCAGACAAACATCTAACCAAGCCACTCCTCTGCTCTAAGTTCTTCGCTGGAATTTTGGATTTTAGATTGTCCGGAGGCCGTGAAGTCTGCACCAGGCACCGTGCGCAGGGCTTTCCGACCATGACCTCACGGAATCCTTTTAACAACCCCGTACGGTAAAGCCAAACCCACCTTGGGACGGGAAACGGGGGGTCAAGAAAGCACTTTCCTGAGGATGAGGGAAACCACTCCGTTGCAATACATCTTAGTACTGCTCCATGCAGGGCTTTGGGGCGCTCTGCACCTCCCGGACACCGGGTAAATGTAAGTCTAATGGACACAGGTGAGGCTCGATAACGTCTGCTCCACTGAAACTCACAGAAAGCAAAGTCCTGAGCCTTGCTCCAAACGCCGCCTCGAAGGGAGACTTAATTCAGTAATAACCTGCCTACCTCGCCAGCTTTTCTCAAGGACAATGCAACGCGGATGGTTCTTTACCCACTTCCCACCTAAGGAAAAAAACGCCTCGGCTACACCAGGGACAAACCTACCAAAGCACTGACGCCACGAACCCCGGCGCATGCGCCCAGACCCGCGCGGTCCCGCGAACGCGCTCACGCCCCGCGCCACAGGAGCCCGCGCATGCGCTCTCGTCCCACCCCGCCCCTCCAGCGCGCACGCGCAGGCTAACGGAGCTATCACGTACCTGTGCAAAGCTGGAGGCGGACACTTTCTTCTTCTTACCGGCGCTATACCCGCCGCTGCTGCTGCCATTGTGGGAAGGACTGGCTGGCCTCTTCTTGCTGTTGCGGGCTACCCCCGGGACGGCAGTGGTGGCCACAATTGGAATTTGAGCCGCCATTCCTACCCTGAGTCTCCCTCCTGCCCCCCACCCCCACCCCCTGCTTTCCCGGTGAAGGCCCTGGGACTTCCGGATCGCGGTTACTTCCGTCCTAATGCCTGAAAACCCGGCCTGGACTCGCGGAGCACTCGCTGGCTTCTCTCGGCCGAATCGAAAAGGCGGAGCTCGGAGCAGCCCGTTCCGTCGGGGCCGGACGTGTCTGCGGGGTGGCGTCCTGCCCTGGCGCTCCCAACTGGGCACGTGCCTGGAAATCCCTAGCGAACGAGGAACAGAACGTCGCGCCGTCTTTTCTTTTTTAATAACAGGGTTTTAAAAATAACCATGTTGTCTTTTCTAACGTTAAGTTCAGAAGATGGATCCTTTTTGATGTCTGTAAGAGTAAAGGTAGTGTCATTCCCGGTGGATTAGAGAGCTACTAGCTTTCCCCTTGGTCGCTGCCGTCTCGCAGGGAACAAGTTCGTATGTCAGTAGAGCCCAAATGGACTTGAAAGGTAGAGTGGTCCTTAACCTTCTAGGGGTCACAGGCCTCTCTGAGCATGTAAGCTAGGCTGCCTTTCCCCTCCCACCCTACCTGATGTATACAGGTATAGACAAAATATTACATGTAATTTCACAGAGTTCACAGACCTGCTAAAACCTGCTTATGAACTTCGGTGAAGCACGCCCTTCCTGTTATTTGCCACATACTACTCTATACTTCTTCAGGACCTTTACGACTTAAACTGTGTGGTTTATCATTGGTTGGTGAATGTCTTTTGGCTTCTGCTAGAATGTAAGCTCTATGAGGGCAAGACCAGTAATGTTTTCTTCGTTTATCTTTCCCAGGTCACAGTACCTTGCAAGTCATTGGTACATTATACATATTTCTAATAAAATAATAAATGAACGAGCCCCCTGCAGTAATTAGTTGAAGTACTGCGTTCTAATACAGGAAGGTGGCATATGTGAACCTGGGTATTTGAAAGAGGTTGCTGAATGACTTAGAGGTGAGAGAGAGAGAGAATAGTTAGGGAAACTAGCAATAATGTTGTAACTGGGGAGATGGGGAGACCTAGGTTTTTGTCTTCTTGAGGGAAAGGTCTCAATCAAGAGACAAAGTGTAGAAAGAAAGAAAATTTATTGATCGCAGCAAAAATATACTTAGGACAATGACGAAGGGCATCGAAGAAGCAACAGGAGAGCCTAGTCTGGGCTGCTTTGGCTCACTGGGAAGTCAGAGAAAAGGGGGGGAAGGGGGTTCTGGAGACAGGTTCAGGGGGTTAGTCTGGGACAAGCTGCTGCTGCCCATTGCTCCCCTGGTTGCAAGTCTCATGGGATCCCTTAGAGATTAGGGGATACATGCCTGAGGGGGAGGGGAATGGCACCGGGTATTCCCTGGAGGGAGAGCCCATTGGAGCCTTCACTTTCAGGGGTTTTAAAGTCTGGGCATTTAGGGGAGGACTTGGGGGAGGGTTAATAGAATATTCTTTAGCTTTATGCTGATGTACCAAAATGAGATTTATTCTCTTAATTTGTCTGTCGTTGGGTATTGTTGGAAAATGGCACTAATTGGATTTCTGTTATCTGTCTCCTTGAGTGGGGTGATTTAAGCTGTCTGTCCTCCATCCGGGGAGGTGAAGATAGGATTTACTAAGTGGCTCTAAACTGCTGNCCCTCCGTCCCGGGAGGTGAAGATAGGATTTACTAAGTGGCTCTAAACTGCTGTTTAACTATCTGTCCCAATTTCCCTATTCTGCTTGTCCTGGAATTTGCCTAGTTTGCGCTATGCTGTANATCTGTCTCAATTTCCCTATTCTGCTTGTCCTGGAATTTGCCTAGTTTGCGCTATGCTGTAACAGTGTTACTGACATCCTTTCTCCTCTGTAGAAAGGAAAAACCTGCCAATGTCAAAATGCTCTCGCCCGTGCCCAGTTCCACCTTTACCCTCACCTAAATCCTGGTGTCCTTATTCCTAGTTGCAATGGCTGCACCAACCAGCTAGTCACCTAAGCCAGACTCTAGGTGTTGAGCCTGGCTGCCTGGGCCCACCCTCTCTAGTACTCTCCCCTTCTCCCATTCCACTCAGCCACCCTCTCAGCTTACTCCCCTCCTTCACCACTCCTGCCCTGGTGAGTCCACCTCCTCTCATCTGGATCCCTGCCACAGCCCCCAGATAAAGTTTGGACCTCCATCTTCTCCTAATCCTCCCTGACCCCAGGCCAGTTTTCACACTGTCTACCAAAATGGGCTACCTAAATCACAAATCTAATCATATCACTTTTTTATATTCTTCAGGGCCCTTTTACCTTGGCACTTAAGGTCGTTGATAACTGGTCTCTGCTCCCTTCTCTTGCTTCATTCCCAACATTTAATTTCCTCTGCTCCGGCCAGGGACTATTTCTGAGAGTATACATTGTTCTCTTAACTCATCACACTTTTGTTTCCATTATTTTCCCTCCTAGGGTTGCTTAGCTCCTTTGCCTCAGTTTAGATACTGCTTCCAATGAAAAGCTTTCTGCCATCTGATGTACCCTCCTTCCCTGTTCCCACCCTGTGTATGCTCTGAGGGCACTGAGTGGGCAGGGTGCTCTGCTGGGCACCTTCCTATAATCCCTTAGTAAATGTTTATTGAGTTCAAACATCAGCTCCCTGCTTTCAAGGAATCAAATACCACCTGGATTCCCATTGCTAAATTCAGTCCTGATCTCGTCTTCCTGAAATCCTTCCCTCAGGACCTGGAATACCATCATCCTTTTGTTTTCCTTGTCCCTAACCATTTGTCCTCTCTGCGACAGCCTTCTTCCTCTACCATACTACAGGTTATTTAAAATACAGGTTAGGTAGTCCCATTCCCCCAGCAGATGCATATTCTTACAGTTTCCCAGGCTCTTCCTGCTCAATCCTTACACATTCAGAGTTCCTTGGTGCTTGGTCAAAGGCCCTCTGTCCCTTCCAGTCCATCATCTTTCCGATCATTTCACCAGCTCTGGGGCCTCAGGGACATCTAACTGCAGACCGCTTTCAGATTGCTTCTCTTATCTGGGTCTTTCTCCAAAGATGCATACCCAGATGTAAAATTCCCCCACCCAGATAGAAGCTCAGATGTTTCCAGGCACCTCACCCAGCATGGCAAAACCAGAATTCTTCATCTTCCCTGCTCCTCTAAAACATGTCCCTCCGTCAGTGTTTCCTATCCGTAAATGTCACTATTATGTACCAGTTATCCAAACCAAAAACCTGGGAGTCATCCTTGACTCCTCCCCTTCATCCGTCACCATACTATAACCCTATTCCAGTCACTCCCATCTTTCTTTCGGTCTCTCACATCACCTTATTTGTCTCCATGTTTCTCCCTTTGGTCCCTCCAAACCAGTCACCGTGTGCAATCCCAGATGACCTCTGTAACGATGCAAATGTGCATATTCAGGTCATGCCCTCTACTTGAAACCCTTCAGTGGCTTCCCTTAATCCCTAGAATGAAGTCTAATGTCCCTATCATGGTTTCACAGGCCTTCAGGGACCTGTCCATCTCTCACCCTTGCCTCTCACCCTACTCTCTGCACTGGAGTTCAGTTTTCACTTTTGTCAGTTCCACCAACCAGCTGTGCTCCCTCTTCCCTCAGGACCTTGACACATGCTGCTTCTCCTGCATGAAAGCTGCTTTTCTCCCACCACCACCCCTCTCTGGTCTCATTTACTTCCACTCACCCTTCCCATCGTTGGCTGACATGCTATTTTTTAGCCTTCTCTATCCCTCTGGTTATGTTAAAACCCCTTGGTCCCTGTTCCCATCAGTCTCAGTCATCCAGTACCTACTGATTGCCTGTCATACTGCCAAGCCCTGAGGATGGAGACAAGTACAAACAAGACAGAATAGTCCCTGCTCTCAGGGAGCCCGCAGTATATCAAGGGAAGAGAGAAATTAGATTTGTCTTCTCAGCTGAACATAAACTCCTTGTGGGCGGTTGCCAGAGTCATCAAGGATTGAGTGGCAGAGCACCAACAGATGATAGCAACAGGGAGAGAGAGAAACGAAACACATCCGCTCAAGGGAGCAAAAGCTTTGGCAGAAACCTGTTCCACACCCCCCTTGGCAGCACCAGTCACTGCACAGTTTTGGCACATGTAGGGGCTGCATGTGTAACTCACATGTTTTCATATCAATAAAGATAAATTAACACTGACCACCCATATTCAGCTAGCTTACGTGTTGAGGACGGGCCTAAGCCTTCTCTGAGTCCCCTTCCCAATTATTCCTAAGAACTTCTCTCAGGCATCTCTCACCTCGGCTGTAATGTGTACTTCTTCTCCGGCCCCCTCACTGGTACCTGTCGCTCCTGTGACCCTCACCAATGCCACATATCCTTTGGCAAAAGCTGCTGATGCCCCCCACTGGGGCTTGCCAATTAAGCAGCCTCAGCTAGTCTTGATCCCAGTTAAGATTCAACGATAAGGAAAGAATAATATGCTTGTTAAGCTACCTCATATCATTTGAGACATAAAATACCTATTCTATTGTCTTTTGAAAATCTCAGGAAACTGTGGATATCTGGGATCATGCTGCTACTGGAAGACACACTACCCACCTTCTCTTGATAACTTGTCTAAAGTATAGTAATTGCTCACTGTATAATCAGTTGATATAGGACTCATGGATGATATGAAGAAATCTAGAAGCTGCAGTAAAGACCCACAAAATTCCCCGCTCACAGCCACTGCAAGAGACAGCAGAGTGCACATATTTTGAACTGTGGAGACATACTGCCCAAAACAAATCCACTGCAATGAGAAGCTGATGGAGCCCCTCAGAGATCACTGCAGTCCTCTCTGGAGTGAGAGCAGCACTAACCCTGGGGTGTGTAGGGGGCTAACCTCTCCTTGTTCTTTAGATATTGTCTCTCAGGAACCTTTTCTGTTCTCCGTTCCACAGACAGCCCAGTGAAATGTCCCTGCAAGGAGGTGCTCATAGCAGCCTATTTCTTTCATCCCAGACCTTCCTATATCACTGTGGATAGTAGGCTCATTTGGGCAAAGAC